TCGGTATGGAGCCTGCTGGGATTCTCTCTCTCTCTCCCTTTCACTCTCTGCTCCTCCCCCACTTTTTCTCATTCTCTCTCAAAATACATAAAGAAATAAACTTTAAAATTAAAAAACATACAGTGTGTGTAGAGAGGTAGAGATCTAGGTGCTATGTGGAAGGAGGAAAAACTGAAGACACAGGCATCTACCCTCAAAGCATCAGGACTAGTTGGGGAGGTAAGAAGGAGACCAGGCAAGGTCAGGATATGATCTGCATCACAAGGGGGGATAAGACCAGCAAGGGCTCAGTGAACTTGGAAAAGACGAAAGGACTTCGGGAGCAATGGGCAGAATAGAAGTGAGGTGGGAAGGATGTGAGCACCCCATCTGACCCGACTGAGGTCCGGAAAGGGAGACAGCAGTGTGCCAAGGTGGGGAAGGTGAATCTCCCCCATTTGGAGAGGCTCCCAGTGCCCAACTACAGAGAGAGGATGCTGGTGGTGTGTGTGTTTGTGTGTGTGTGTGTGTGTGTGTGTGTGTGTGTGTTTGGGGTCCCAGCAGAGCCCCTGGAGGTCTTCATGATCTTCATTCCTTCTTCTCCTCTGGGTGGGAGGGACCACTGTAGATCTCTTTTCATGTTGTTTGTGAGCTACGAAAACAATGCACCCTAATAGCCCCAAACTGGAAGCAACCCAGATACCTATAAGCAGGAGAATAATTAGATAAACTGTGTTATATTTATGCTGTTATAAAGAGAAGTGAGCTAGTAATGCAATGAAAAATACCCAGGAATCTTAAAAAAATTATGCCGAGTAAAAGAATCCTGGTGTAAAAGAATGCACATTATTGGGTTCCATTTATATGAAATTTCTCAGACTGGCCTAGCTTAGACACAGTGATTGATCTAAGTGAGACTGATGAGGGAACAAGAGAACTTTCTGGGAAGCATGGAAGTGCTCTATATCATGACTACAGTTTAGGTTACACGGTTTGTAGGTGTTTCTCAAAACACACTGAGCAGCGCAATTAGGATTTGTAAATTTCACCATACAGAAATTGCATCCAGAAACAAAACACCTGTGAACTATTATCAAACACTATGAAAATGGTATAATTCTTGCAATTTTTCTGACTGCTTGAAAACTTTCATAATAAAATGTTAGGTAGACAAAATGAGCTATATCCATTCATAAAAAATGAAGTGGAGAAGGGGGGCAGGGAATGTTGGGCAGGATGCATTGCTTCTGGAATCCCATCTGGAAGTGGCATCCAGGGTCTGTCTGCTCTCAGCCTCTCTCTGACCAGTCTACTCTGCTCCATTTCACTTTTGCAATGAAATGGATTCATTGTCCATCCATTGGTTACATATTGAAGCATGTGGTTTGTGCTTAGCCCTGTGCCAGGCAGAGGAAAAGGTCAGACATGGTTCCTGCCCTCATGGTGTTTGACATCTACTGAGGCTTTGATCAGGGGACTGCTGGGTGGTGAGCTTATAAAAGCAGCAGCCAGGGATGCCAGGGAAGGGATTAGGCAGCTCATGAGTGAGTGGAGGATAATGGCCCAGACGCACTGAGAACCCATTATACACTGGGTCCTTTTCAAGCTTTAACATAGATTAATTCCATTAATTCTCACAACCACCTCATTAGGTGGGAATTGTATTATCCCCATTTTACTTCTCAGGAAACTGAGGCTTGGGGAGGTTAAGTCACTTTTCCATGATTATATATCAAGAGGGTGACCAAGCAGGGATTCAGAAGAGGTTTGGTGAACTGGGTCTGGAGCCCATGCCCTAAACCAAGGGTTAGCAAACTTTCCGGAAAGGGCCAGAAGAGAAATATTTTAAGCCTTGTGGGCCGTATGGTCTCTATCAAACTTATCAGCTCTTCCATTTCTACATGAAGGCAGACACACAGACGGCATGCTAAGGAACGGGCTGAGCTCCAGTAACACTTCATCTACAAAATCAGGCGATGGGCCAGATTCGGCCGATGGCCCGTAATTGACTAACTCCTGCCCCAAACCATCCATAGTCTCCAGTAATTGGGAAGTGTTCAAGTTGGACCCAGAGGCAACTGAAGGAACCCTAATCCCTGACAGGCATGTCCATGTGGAAGTGGGGGTTCAGCTAGCAAGGAATCAATACAGTCTTTGAGAGCGCAGGTCTCTAACTAGTGAAATAGCAAAAATAACCCCTGTGGGTGCATGTGGCAGAGAAAAAGGTGAAAATGTGAAGAAAAAAAAAAAACTACTCAGAAACCTCACCAAGGTTGGTTGTCTTTAGTCTTTGGAGCCAGATTTAGAATTTTAGAAGCACCACTCTTTGAGACTTTATGTCAACGAGGAAGGGTGAAGTTCCAGTGCTCTAGTTGAATATTATTCATTTGGAAAAGGCAAAAGCCTTGGCCAAAGAGAATTTTCCTGCTTGGAGCTTGGCTTTCACTGGCTCTTGGTTTCCTATGGGCAGGAAATCACTTTACTCAACTCTTGCTGCTGACAAGGATTCAACCCTGGAACTCAAAGGGTGAGCTGGGCTTAAAATGCATTGGCCACATTCTTAGAAGAATCCATGTAATGTTGAAAATTAAGAGCTCAAAAGGTTTTCTGAGTGTTCACAGTTTCAGGGTCAGCCCAAGGACTGTGATGAGTACAGCCCCAGCAGGCTCTTACTCACTCTGAACAGGGGCTGCCATCTTGCTCTGAGAAACCCTGACTTTCCCCGTAAACTCTGGCCAGGGTACATGTGGCATTATCATAGGTTCAGTATGGACAGAATACTTTGGGGCAGAGAATCTTTTTCAGTACAAGGCATTTGTGATGGACATTGGCCTCGTTATACCTACACAGCTGATCAAAGGAGGAAAATCGATCTATAGCCAGGTGGAGGGTCTGCAGGAAGGTGAACTACCAGCTGGACTGGGATGGATCCAATCCCTCATTATTTTTTTTACACTGACTTAACCAGGTCAACCCACTGCTTTAGTGTCACAGAGACATGCTTTGAGTCCTTTACTCTTAGGAAGGCATTTATTGGCTGGGAATAATTTCCAGCTGGGGTTTGGCAGATTGGCTCACATGGATTGTGCAGGCAGGGGAGAAAGTCCAGCGCATTCCCTCTGGGACAGAACCTTGCATAAGGAGATGTGTTATGTTCCTGGGTCCCCACACAAAGGGTCTGTTTGGGGAAAGCAGTTTCCTGTCACCAAAAGGTAAACCAAACACATCCTCCTACAGAGATACCCATGTGTTTCCATACCTACACTGCAGGGATAAACTGGTAAAGGGGCACCAAGAGATGCCTTGAACCTTGTCAGAAGGTCCCCTGACCACTTCTACTGACAATAATCACTCTCTGTTCTCTAATGAACTGATCAGCCTGCCTTGCTTTTCCTTTCTGTAAACACAGGTGAGCCTTTGACTCCCGGCAAGACAGTGTACGTTGGTGGGGCTCTATGGTCCCCCAGCCTCCATGCAGATAAGACTTTATAAGAGAACTGGTGTAAAAGGGATGTCAAAGTCAAAGCCCCAGAACCCGTGGAGATCAGAAGTGGGTTTAACCTCCGTACTTGCTCTAAGTCAGTGGTTCTTAAGCTTTCTCATGCATCAGAACCACCTGGAGGTTTATTAAAATACAGCTCGATGGGCCCATCCCCAAAGTTTCTGATTCAGGAAGACTGGGTGAAGCCTGAGATCCTGCATTTCTAACAAGCTCCCATGTGATGCTGCTCGAGCCTATCCAGGGACAACGCTGCTCTAAGGCATACCTCCTATCTCAGGGTAGCCAACCTCGTGACCCTTTGACTGAGGTCAGGGCAGAAGGGACATCTTCTGTGCACTATGGAAAAAATTCTATGATCTTTGTTGGCTGGGTCGGCCTCTAAATATTCCCTACCTGCTGTGCCCACTACTATAGCCACTGATCATATATGGCTCTTTGAATGTAAATGTGAATTGGTTGAAGATAAGGTTAAAGTTTTTGTTCAGTTGGATGAGCCACCTTTCAAGGGCTCAATAGCCCACATGTGCCTAATGGCTGCCATATGGGACAGCACAGATACAGGACATTTTCATCATTGCAGAAAGTTCTACTGGACAGAGCTATTTTATAAGAATTCCAAAAATTGTTTCTCTCTTTTCAGTGTTTGGCTGCTAACCCCACTGTCTTACTCTGAAAAACAAACAAAACAAAAATCCTTTTATGAATATCACAAATGGAATGTTAACTCTTTCTTCTTCTTTGCTTGCTCACAGTAACAACCCTTATCCACTTCTTCCTGTCAAGTTTGGGAAGAGGTCACAAACTAATGCAAAAGAGAGAAAAAAGTTTTTATGAGGTGCCTGGTGGCTCAGTTGGTTGAGCATCCAACTCTTGATTTTGGCTCAGGTCATGATCTCAGGCTCCTGGGATTGAGCCCCGTGTGGGGTTCTGAACTGAGCATGGAGCCTGCTTAAGATTCTCTCACTCTCTCTCTCTCTCTCTCTCTCTCTCTCTCTCTCAGTCCCTTTTGCCCTGCTCGCTCTCTCTCTCTCTCTCTCTCAAGAAAGAGAGAGAGAGAGAGAGAGGAGAGAGAGGGAGAGAGAGAGAGAGAGAAAATTTCAGTAATATTTTTCAAAATTTTGCTCCCATCACCCATGTTAGGAAATTTACTCAAAAGGTAAACCTAAAAGCTATGTGCCAGGAAAGCAAATGCTCCCTGGAGGTCAGGTCCACAAGGGAAATATTGTGAGCAATAAGAATCAGGCCACACGTCAGAGAATTGGAGTGCCATGCTGCAGCCCAGTAGGCACTGCCCCTGGATGGAAGGACGGGGTTGGACTGAGAGTGGACTACACAAGGGCACCCCCTAGCTGTCCTAGGGAAGTAGATATTCCCACTACCAATCCCAGAGCAAGGCTATCCAAACTGCCCTTTGCCATCCTAGAGGAGAGATTTGCACTGACTGCTACTCAGAATTGCTTGAGCTCCTGCACAGAGCAGATGCCTTTTTGGAAGCCTAACTGCACATCCTTTCTTACAGATTCGGCTAAACAGCAGAGGACTGATCTACTCCGTGGGCTTACTCCTGGCCTCCGTCTTTGTTACGGTAGGGCTTCAGCTTATTCCCCTCTCGAGTTCCTGTGTTCTCCCCACCCCCACCCTTGGGTTCTTTGGCCACAGAGTTTGTTTGGACACCAGATGGGCTTGGCCTTCTGGTGGATGGGGACAGTCAGCCTCCAGATGTCCCATCTCCTTCGTGGCTGTCTCTTCTATAAGTGGATCCTAGCAACTCACTAGAAAACATTCCCTCTTTCTGAACGGAGCCAGCCCACCTCTGAGAAGCAAGGCCCTGCCTTATGTCAAGCACAAGCCATTTTATCAAAAGCAAAGGGGAGATCCACTTTTTCTGCAGGATTAGTGAAGAAAAGGGTAGATTCCAATTAATTGTCTGTTCCAAGTTAATAAGCACCTCTATAAATCCATGGATTTGACCAATTCTCAGAGACTAAGAATACATCATTTCATTGACAGTATACTTTCATGCCATTCCACTGTCTTGGCTATCATATCTATTTGTATAGTACGATATTCCAACTCAGCTGCCATGTTTGGTAGAAACAGATTCATACCAACACATGAAGTATCCATTCATATACAAGTATGTGGTTAAATTTTCACATTAGTGAACATTGAGGGGTACCTGGATGGCTCAGTTAGTTGAGCATCTGACTTCAGCTCAGGTCATGATTTCATGGTTCATAAGTCCAAGCCCTGAATCAGGCTCTGTGCTGACAGCTCAGAGCCTGGAGCCTGCTTCAGATTCTGTGTCTCCCTCTCTCTCTCTCTCTGCCCTTCTCCCATTTGCTCTGTCTCTCTCACAAATATAAATAAAAACATTTTTTTAAATATAAAAAAAACATTGAGATGCAATGTGGTTTTTCCTGAAATCTTCAAGGAAATCATCATTGAATTATACTGGCATGTGAATGTCCATATAGTTGATAATGGGAATTTAGAAGAGCAGGCAGGAAGCTGGCGAGGTCATTTATGGGATCAGACTGTGAGTCAAATTTCAAAGATTTACTAAAGCAAACACTGTCTTACGCAAAAGTGGAAACCTATGCAATTTTTCTTCCATAGCATAGGAGTTTCTTTGAGTCTGTTATGACTTAGGGTTATGAGACCTGTCATAGCCACACATTGTGCTCAGTGCTTTGCATTCATTTTCCCCTTTGGAGCTCATCATGCCCCCATCATGTAGCCACTATATTAGCCCCATTATACAGATGAACATCTGAGACCTCTAGGGAAGTTGACACCAAATGAATGAAGGGGCAAGCCATCTGACACCAGAGCGCATGCTTACAGCTACATGTGTACACCTGTAGGAGATGGGGCTGGCCACCACCTGGGATGTTGAAATGGGGCTGCTGGAATGCTGGAGAGAAGTAGGTTTGTGGGGGGGGGGGGGGGGGGGGGAAGAGTAGTTTCAAACCTCTTGAGCTATCTTGCCTATTTGACACCCAAGGGGAAAGGTCAAGAAAGCCATTGGAAAGATGAGTCTGAGTTCAGGAGAAGCGTCCAAGCTGAAGGCACAATGATATTTAAAGCCCTGCGGTTGGATCAGTCAGCAAGAGGGTGAGTGAGGACAGAAAAGAGGCCCAGCATCTGAGTCTTGGTGCCCTCTGGTAGTTCGAGGTCAGGATGATGACAATAAACCACCAAAGGGAACAGAGAATGAGCAATCAGAGAGGTGGGAGGCAAAGCAGGAGAGTATGGCATCTGGAAGCTAAGGGGAGAAGGTGTTTCGGGATGGAGGGAGTGATTGGCTCTGTTATGGGAAAGGAGTCCTGAGTGTTGGCCATTTGGTTTAGAAATATAAAGTTATCAGGGGACGCCTGGGTGGCTCAGTCGGTTAAGCGTCCGACTTCGGCTCAGATCATGATCTCACAGTTCGTGGGTTCAAGCCTCGTGTCGGGCTCTGTGCTGACAGCTCGGAGCCTGGAGCCTGCTTCGGATTCTGTGTCTCCCTCTCTCTCTGTTCCTCCCCTGCTCTCACTCTGTCTCTCTCTCACTCTCTCAAAAATAAATAAAGATTTTTTAAAAATTAAAAGAAAAAAGAAATACAAAGTTATCAGTCCTCTTGATGAGGGTGGCTGCATGGGGGCAATAAGGCCGAAGGTTGAGTAGAACAAGGTAACAGGAAGGAAGGAGAGAAATTGGATGCAATGGTGTTTACAACTCTTTGAAGTCATCTTTCTGTGAATAAAGGAGAGAAATGGGAATCCAGAAAAAATGTAGTTGTTTTTTAATATGAGGGAGCTAGCAGCATTCTTGTACTCCAGTTGGAGTAACCCGGGGAGTGATGGGGAGATGGAAATAAAAGAGGGGCAGTTTCTGGGACCATGTTCTTGAGCGGTAAGGGGAGGTGGGATGGTGTGCACATGTGGGGGAGTGGGCCATGGACAGGGTCGTGGGCGACGGGTCCTCACTGGCAGGAGAGAAGGTGAGCAAATGGATCTGGTGGTGGGAGTTCTGTGGATGGGAACATCATCATGCACTGAGAGTGAGGGTGGAAAAGGAAGGTATTGGGGGTCTCAGAAGAGGGGAGAGGTCAGAAACAGCCATCCAGGAAAGGGAGAGACAGTGCACTTAGGGAAATGTGGAATGATTGCCATAAGTGGCTCACTCAAGGTTTGTGGGCTTGAATTAAAAGTCAGAACCTTCAGGGGGGCACCTGCGTGGCTCAGTTAATTAAGTGTCAACTTCTGCTCAGGTCATTATCTCACAGCTTGTGCATTGAAATTCCACATCAGGATCTCTGCTGTCAGAGCAGAGCCTGCTTGGGTTCCTGTCTCCCTCTCTCTGTGTCCCTCCCCAGCCCGTGCTTTCTCTCTGTCTCAAAAATAAATAAAAACATCAACAAAATTAAAAACAAACAAAAGTGAGAAACCTCGGGTGCACCTGGATGGCTCAGTCCCTTGAGCGTCCGGCTCTTGGTTTTGGCTCAGGTCATGATCTCACAGATTGTGAGTTCCAGCCCTGCATTAGGCTCTTGTGGTGACAGCATGGAGCCTGCTTGGGATTCTCTCTCTCCCCTCTCTCCCTGCCCCTCCCTCCCTCTCTCTGAAAATAAATTTAAAAAGCAAAACAACAGCAACAACAAAAAAAACAAACGTAAAAAGTGAGACCCTTCGGCATGGCCAGGCGTTTTCCTCCAGCCTGGGTCAGCTGCGTGGAAGCAATATGGAATAGCTGGAAGCAGGGCTTGAACCAAAAGGCTGTGGTTTTAGCCATACAAGGACAAAAGTGCTAGAGAGATACATGTAAACAGTGAAGAGTGCTTAGGGGTGGTTCTAACGATTGTTGGTGGAATTTAAGCAGGGTAAGGTGAGAGAGGGGTGATGGGCAGTGAAATGGTGGGGGTGGCAATGAATTCTGGGTCCTGGGAGTCTGCAGAGTTGTAGGAGTACAGGGACCAGATGGAGTAAGCAGGAAAGAAGAGATGGCTGTCAGAGAGTGAGGTGTTTGGCACGGAGTCCTTTCTGTTCTTGCTAATCACCAGGTCTCAGCTGCAGGGCTGTCCAGCAGAACTTGTCCGCTGTCCTGTACCTGCACTGGACAGCAGCCACTGGCCACGTGTGGATGTCAGGCACATGAAATGTGGCTAGTACAACTGAGGAACTGAGTTTTTAAGTCTATTTTGAGAGAAGGCGGGAGAGAGCGCATGAACTGGAGAGGGGCAGAGGGAGAGGGAGAACCCCATGCAGCCTCCACGTGGGCTCAGCACCAAGCCCAGCCCTGGGCTCTACCCCACAACTGTGAGATCATGACCTGAGCTGAAATCAAGAGTCAGATGCTCGACCAACTGACCCACTAAGGCGCTCCAGGAATGGAGTTTTTAATGTTATTTGATATACATTTAAATTTGGGGGGCCACCTGTGGCTAGTGAGTGCAGTGCAGGTGCGAGGCATGGCTGCAGGAGACTGGGTGTAGGACGGGTGTTGGGAAGATCCTCTCGGTTGATGGTGAAATTGCTGGGCAGGACGACAAGGTGCTGTAGACAGGAGTGGCAGTGGGTAGGACTCCGGGCTCTGGGGAAGGACGAAAAAGACTGCTTTTGCAGTGTTGACTGCAAGTGAGTGGGATGGAGTATGACTGCTGGAAGACTTTAGATTCCAAGCTTAGGTTTTTTGAGAGGAGAAAAAAATAAAGAGTGCATAAGGAGCAGCGAAGAGCAAGGGGTACAGCCTTCTTGCCTCTAGGTGCAGGAATGGAAGAGGTGTGGCCTCCACTGCCAGGGCTGTGTCTGCAGGGGCCAGGGGCTGCCTGGGGCAAGAGGGTGAAGAGGCAGAACAGGTGCCACCAGCACAGAATAGTGCGGAGCAGTGACGGCCACCATGCCCGTGTTGATTGGTCCCATCATTATGACTTTGTAAAGTTATCTCCCAAGTTCTGACTTCCCACATGAACGATGGGTTTGGGGGTGCTCAGAGACCATCAGTGCTCCACGAGATCAGCCATTGGCAGCCCTACCCCCGGCTATGGCCACCCCAAGGCCCAAGGCTACCTCTTCCCGCACCCTCTGACCCTGCTGTGTGTGTTGCAGGTGTTTGGCGTTCACCTGAACAAGTGGCAGCTGGACAAGAAGCTCGGGTGCGGGTGCCTTTTCCTGTACGGTGTGTTCCTGTGCTTCTCCATCATGACAGAGTTCAACGTGTTCACCTTTGTGAACTTGCCCATGTGCGGGGACCACTGAGCCGCCTGGCCACCCACCGAGCCTCAGTCCTTCTTTACTGTGCAATACAAGACCCGGCCGCACCCCGAGTCACGCGGGCCCCCAGAGCCGGCACATCCGGCTCTCCCGCGCTGTTCACAGGCCTCTGCTCCTGCCTTGGTGGCCCAGGCTGTTCCCACCCCTCCCTGCTCCCCCTCCTCCATGGGTTTCTCTCACCCACCCCTTCCTGCCTCCTCCGTGTGAAGACTCTGACATCCGCGTGAATTTTCAAGCTCCATTTTTGAACAGTGACTGAGATTCTAGAAAAACTGGCTGCTAACTGGCCCAAGCCAGGCAAAACTTACTACAATCCCTCCTCCTTTTTTAAGTTATTGGATGGAAGACAAACCTAATTTATGACCTGAGACTGTCGAAGGAATAGAGAGGAGAGGGTGTATTGATGCTAGGGAGTGTTTGGGATTTTGTTATGTTTTGAGGCGATACCTAGGTTACTACTGGGTTTGGGTGGGGTTGTTTCACTTTGGGGGGGCTCCCCTTTTTATTCCTTTTCTTCCAGAGATGGAGAACTTCTCTCGCATCTTTCACCGGGCTCTGGATTAGTGGATGATCCACAGGTTGTCCCCGCCATGTCTTCTGGGATCAAGCCCCAGGCATGGTGGAACATGCATGAATTTAGTGCTTAGTAGAGGAACATCTGGGCGAGGCCACGGGGAACAGATGCATGATGTTTCATATGCAAGGATGCCTCCCTGAAGTCCTGTAGGCGTCATCTAGGGGGCACAAGGCTTTTGAGGAAGAAGACAGCTTCCCACATATCCATTAGGACAATCATTTTGTCACTAGGTTCCTTCTAGTCTTTCAAGCAATAGTTCTAGCCTGCCTGAGGCCTTTGATGAGGGGCCCCGGTTACACCACCCGTCCTGGAGGTGCCGGGAAGTCAGCGCCAGAAGTTTCCCAGCCCAAGAGTCCCTGAGATGCGCTCTCATCACTTGGTATTCGGGGTGACAGGGAGAGACCCAGAGGCCACCACTGCTTTTTGTGCAGGAGCTATAGACACTGGTTTCTTGGAAAACGGAGAGAAGCGCACTTTGCACAGACGTCGTCAATAAAGTCCCAATTTGCCACTCGGTATTGAGTACACTGGACCCTGACAGCTGGCTTTTGGGCCAGCGTCCTTCCTCGTGGGACGCCTCCACCAAGCTGCCCCAGCTCCACCCCTCCCATCCTGGAGGGATGGCGAGGGAAGGAGGATACAGAGAACTGACACCTTGGGAACCGCAGAATGTGTTCAATGCAGACTCGCTCAAGGGCATAAGTTATTGTGAACGTTGCTGCCAATCACTGCTCAACAGCCCTGCTAGATTTTGTATGATGCTGAATTATTATGCAGACTAATTCCACCGAGTTGAGACCCACCCATGCTTGTTACACTTGTATTTATTGAAACTGTGGATTCTTGCCCGTGCCGCCCCCTGTATTTACTTTAAGCACTGATCACTTATCATTCATTCAGTATGGTTTTCCCCCCGCCGTCCCTTGTACACATTCTGGTATGAATTGTAAAAATAACCTGCTACAAATTGGTTGAATGTTTCTGTCAATGGTGCAAACCAAGGCCAGCGTTAGCCAGCCGACGAGGCACCTGCCCGAAGAAGGAACGGGAGAGGAAATCACCAATTTGGGCTCTCAGAGCTAAGACACACGTATTGATTCTGTTGCACATTTTGCACTGGTTTATGGAGATTGTTTTCTTGGACGGATAGTGTAAAATAAACCTCTCTGTTCTATATCCTTCCTTGAGTGGCACGCATGTTACTTCCTCCCCTGGAGTGTTGCCTGTTTTAACTGTGCTGACCAGTATGCCTGGAAGGAAGCTGCCACGTATTGGTGCTTCTGCTCTTTTTGGGTGGACTCAACCTGGAAAGCTGGCAAAATGGCGGGTTTCTGGTATGAAGTGGCAAATCATGGGTCTTCTCTAAATCTTGAAGGGTCTTAGGATCTGTCATCCTATAGAATACGTGCAGCGCTCTGTTAGGAATTCTTTCTTGCAGCTAAAGTGGGAGGAACAGATTCCAGCATGGCCGACAGTTGTCCAGCAGTTCAAGTTCTCCATCCTGTGTGATTGTACTAGTTTTTGATCTGGAAAACTCAGACTTCCCCAAAGCCAACTCCTTAAAAGAGAGGGTAACACATCATTGTAATACACCACATTCTTACCCTGCAGGACTCCCAAGAAATAATTATCCAGATCTAAAAGTAGACCAAGGTTAGTTAACAAGCCAGGTGTCCACCTGAAGCAACAGACTTCATTTATAGGAGCCAGAAAAAAAATTGCCAATAAGGCACAGCACCAAGTTTTATTTAACTATTTAAGAAAATATATTCCCAGGTTGGAGGGAAAAGGTCCTTAGCTTTGTTTTGAATGTTGACATCTAAAAATGCTTTACCACTGTATTTGTGCATTTAATAAATACATGCTGGGCACAGACAGTATTGTCATTATTCTGATTGGTGCTTACAAAGCATAAGATACTTTCACTTCAAATATTTTGTTATACTGGTCTCAATTCGCTTTACTCTTAAGCACAGCATTTGATCTGAAACTTGATTTTTTTTTTCTTTTAAGCATACTTTCTATGAAATCTTTAGAAATCATAGTTCCATGCTTAATTTCTCAAAGAGAAAATCCTGGTATGGGGTAAAGTTCCCATTCATAATGACTGCCAACCTAGGAACTGGAAGGTTTCTTATAGGAAATGAGCATTTAGCCTATTTCTGACCAGATCCCTGCCATGCATGATTGTTTCTTGAATTGTCGACTACGAATGTGGTTCTAAATGAGCTGGCTTCTCCAATGATGCAAAATTGTCCATATTGCTATTTTCACTGCTTCCACTGTTCTGGAATTTGTTTGGGAGGGGTTAAGGTGGGTTTGAGGGAAGAACTTTTATTCAATATCTCATACCTGACAGTAACACCAGAGAACCCTCTCAGCAGTTTTCTGGAGTGTGCTAGTTTCAGTTAACTCCCCAGGCTGTGTTCTTGTGCACAAGAGGACAAGGGAAGGCAGATACTGGTTTGTGCTTCTTCCTCAGCACATCGTAGTTGATCCCACAGGGAGGATTGCCAGAATGTCCTCTTTTTTTCTGGAAAGCATATTCCCAACCATGGCCTGCTGGGAGCACTGCCAGCACTCATACCCTTTATGTGGCATTGGATGCACTGAGAGTTTCCAGATGGTTTCTTCCCCCTTCCGAAGCAAAGTACCAGCCCTATGTTTTTAGGGGTAGTGCACTTTTTTAGGCATATGTCTGTCTGTTTGTTATCTACCTCCAAAAAGATCTGGCTGGAGGATAGGTGGGTGAAGTCCGTGGATTATGTTTTCCTAAGTCTGTTGCTGAAGACGCTTATAGATTACAGTCATAAATTTGAAAGGCTGGAGACTGGAGACTCTAGATCTCAGGCAGCAAATCTGAATTCACTTTAGGTACACAGGCTTCAAAGAAAAGCCTGAGTGTTTAAAAATGGGGGGAAGGAGATGGGAGGGGTGGTAAAATCATAAGGTCCAGACGGTTTTCAATTGTGGTACATAAAGTAGGAATAACATCCAACTTGCAATAAATGTAATAAAATGTAGTCTTAGAGCTTTACCTAACTGGTCATGAAAGTATTCAGGTTGTTGGGAGAAATTAGAAGTGGAAAATTGGTGGTGGCTATGCTCTAAGAGTTATTTATCTTCACCTTTTCAAAATAGTATAACTGTCCAGGCTAATTATCCAATTATTCTGACCCGTTTCAATCGGCTATTTTGAAGTAGATGGAACATTTTCATGTTGAATTTTGTGTAGGCTCATACTAATTTATGAGTCTCGTTTACTTGTATATTTTCTGCAATGTCTTCTCAACACACACACACACACACACACACCATCTATCTGACACCAAAACTCTGTGTGAAAACAATCCAGTGGATCTTTGAAAAATTTCCAAATATCCAGCTGTCTGTTATGATACAACTTAAGGAGGAATGGGGTGGGTTCAGCCAACATTTCTCTGATAAATAAAAAACCATGTGTCCATTGCATCATCCTCCAGAGATGTGGGGCGCTAAGAGATGCTGAAAAAGGCAGTGAAGCAATGGACAAGCAGAGGATTAGCACCATACATAAGATAAATTATGTGATCCCCCAGAAGTAGTTTCACACTGAGCTTTCTGCTTAGTTTTGAAACACAGGGCAGAGTAGTAAAACACCAAAATCTCTCAGATGGCTCCCTGCTGCTCTCAGAACATGTATTTCCTTAATAAAGTGTGGCTAGTAGTCCTGTTAATTTTTTACTGAACTTCAATTTAGCACTCTTATCAAATTGTAGAGATTTTATTTTTTTTAAGTTTATTTGTTTATTTTGAGAGAGACAGAGACAGTGCGAGTGGCAGAGGGGCAGAGAGAGGAAGAGAGAACACTAGCAGGCTCTGCCCTACCAGTGTAGAGCCCTACGTGGGGCTCAAACCCATGAACCGTGAGATCATGACCTGAGCTGAAACCAAGAGTTGGGCACTTAACTGACCAGGCGGCCTGAGATTTTTAATGTAGTGAATAGTTGTTATTACTACTCATTTTGGCTTTGGTTTTTGTTTTTGCAACAGGTAGGAGGGAAGGGAAGATTTAAGACAATGATGGAGCAGGATTGTGGGATCAAGCCCCACATTGGGTGAGCCCCATGTCGGGTGCTGCTGATCTGGAGCCTGCTTCAGATTCTCTCTCTCTGTCTCTCTTCCTCTGCCTCTCTCTGCTGCTTGCATGGTCTCTCTCTAAAGTAAAAAGATAAAAAAGTAAGACAGTGTTAGTATATATGCCTTGTAAGGGTTTTTCTGCTACAATTAACTTACATAAATGTATGCATAGATACATACATCACATTTCGTCTTTATGTAACTTCAAACTTACCCTACTTATCAAACACTGAATTTGGTGATACCACATCTTCTGGTGTGTTGAGGCAATTAATACAGTAACTGCTTCCAGAAAACTGCATACAAAATTTGGAATGAAGTGTGACAAGAAATTTCAGGATCCTGGCAGTTGTTTGGAAGAATTCGGAGCCATGCCCACAGGTCATTGCTAAAAAGAGATGCACCTGTGCACAAAGATGCTTTCAGCAGAAAACCAATACTTTTAAATTTTTGCATAAGAAAAATGTACTCTACTCAGTTTTGTATCTTTCTTTTTGCTGCATAAATCAGATGATTCATGTCCCTTCCATGCTTGATGTAGGATGATACATTCAGATGCTCCGTCCATCATCAATTCTCTAACCACCAATGGATTGGAACCAAAATGCCCGCTGCTTCAGTTTCAGGGGGATTTATTTTGTCAACTTTTCCAGGTTTCCAAAAAACCAGCTCCAGAATAGGTAAAAATTTATTGTCTTCTCACGTTGAATTGTTCCCTCCAGTTGCTTAAATGTTACTCTATTCAACTTCATGTGTGAGAAAATGAATTTACCTGCATTTACTCATTGTCTAAAATCCAGGTCTCCCAAATGTAAGCATACATTAGAATTACCTGGAGACTTATTAAAATACACATTTCTGGTTCAGTAGGTCAAAGAATTTGCATTTCTCACCAACCCCCAGATGCTACCACTGCTAGGTCTGAGTCCCACTTTGAGAGTCACTGGTGTAAATAATGTCCTTTGTCCAGAAAGCCTATACCAGCCTATACTGATATCACTGGTATATAGCTTATGGAAAACACACGCATGTGCACACACACACACAGATGTACTATTTCTTTCATTCTTTCAAAATTCGTTTTTCTTTCTATTTCCACTGAGATCTACACATGGCTGAAAGTAGAAAAAAGAAGTTTGGTCAACTCTTCATAATCTACATTCTCTGTCATCCTATGCTATGTTCGTTCCCAGCCAAAAACAACTGTTAAATTAAAACCAAACCTGGGGCGCCTAGGTGGCTCAGTTAAGCATCCTACTTTGACTCAGGTCATGAACTCATGGTCTGTGGGTCAGTTGGACTCTGTGCTGACAGCTCGGAGCCTGGAGCCTGCTTTGGATTCTGTGTCTCCCTCTCTCTCTGCCCCCCCCCCCCGACTCTGTCTCTCTCTCAAAAATAAATAAACATTAAAAAATTTTATAAGATAACAGATCAGGGGCACCTGGGTGGCTCAGTTGCTTGTGTCTGACTCTTGATTTTGGTTCAGGTCATCATCTCACAGTTTGTGAGATCAAGACCCGTGTTGGGCTCTGTGCTGACAGCACAGAGCCTGCTTGGGATTCTCTCTCTCCCTCTCTTTCTGCCCCTCCCTGACTTGTGCTCACTCACTCTCTCGCTCTCTCTCTCAAAATGAGTAAACATTAAAAAAATTTTTTTTTAATATAAAACCAAACCAGATCAAAGTTAATGATTTAAGATGAGATGAGGGAAAGCCAAGATTCTGGGTGGAGTTATTAGCTCAGTAGAAATGGACGCAGGCAATGACCAATTCATTCAAGGTGAAAAAGGTTTAATTATATACTTTAACAAGAGAAACTAATGGTAAGTACAAGAGAAATTTCCTTTACATGAATTCCAATTCACACATTACAACCAGGTACAGCTAACTTTCTTATCTAAAAAGGTTATTTTGATGCAAATCTATCCAACAAAGATGTCATGGTGCAGAAAAAAAAAAGTTTACACCAGAGTTGGCCTTCAAGGCCCCCAGTCCTGCAAACAATCCCACACCCCCACTTCACACTCTTTCCTAAGAAACCAGAGAACATCCCCAGCCACACAC